CACACACACACACACACACACACACGCACACGCACACGCACACGCACACGCACACGCACACGCACCTACACGTGGCCGCACGTCTGTCGCGCGCCGCTCGGCCCCCGTGCCCCCCGCGCGGCGGGGCACGCTGGCCCCCCGCAGGCGTGTCCAGCGGGTGGCCTTCCAGATTCCTGGCGTTCTCCTCCGCCTCCTCCTCCACCTCCTCCTCCACCTCCTCTTCCTCCTCCTCCTCCTTCTCCTCCTCCTCTCCTCCTCCTCCTCCTCCTCCACCTTCGCCTTGCCTCCTCCTCCACCTTCGCCTCCTCCTCCTCCTCCACCTTCGCCTCCTCCTCCTCCTCCTCCTTCTCGCAAAACCTTCCGATGAGCGCAGGGGTGGTTTTTCGGTCCAGTGGAGGGCCACAATTTGTTGAAAAGTGTTCTTTTCCTTTACCTCCTCCTCCTCCTCATCATCCTCCTCCTGCTCTTCTTCCCCCTCCTCCCCCACGGTTGCCATTGCAGGCGCCGGTACGCAGCGGTGCCCTCGCCCTTGTTCTGTCTCCCTTGCTTCGTCGGCTTGCGGGAGCCGTCGGAGCATGAGGCTGGTGGTCGCGGAGCTGGGCCTGCACACCCCACGGGAGGGGCGCTGGGCGCGGCTCTCTGCCCCCCGACGCGGCACCGAATGTTCTGACGCCTTCGTACGTTCCGCTATGTTCAAGTCGGGCCTGTCCCTCTACAGGGGGGAAACTCCAAAATAGTAAAAAAAAAAAAAAAAAAAAAAAGTCAGGGGGCGATTTTCTGGCCATTTTTTTCATGTTCAAGCATGTTTAACATATTCTGCATTTTTCCTCCAAAACCCCCCCTGGTAGGGGGGCAGGCCCGATGTCACGCGGTGTTGCAGCACGCGCCATGGGGCCCGTCAGCTCGACGGGGCCTGCACCGCGCAGGGAGCTCGTCAGTCAAGCATTATGTCGGGCGCGTCCCCCTACAGGGGGATTTTCGACGAAGAACCAAACATACTAAAAAAGTACAGGGGGGTTTTCGACGAGAAACCAAAAATATTGAAAAAGTACACCAGAAAGACAAAACAAGATTCAGAAACAGTCCCCAGACTATTGTTTGGATCACTGTTTGGCCATTTTGGGGGATTTGTTTTATTGTTCGTCGAAGGTCCCCCTGTAGGGGGACAGGCCCGACTTAATTCGAACAGTAGCGACCACCTGCGGCGCCGCCTCCGCCGCCGAGGGCCGCCGAAGACTTCCCAGGGCCTCTGAGGGCGGCGGCGGCCGACGGGAGTCGGCGGCGAGCGCCTCCTCCTCCTCCTCCTCCTCCTCCTCCTCCTCCTCCTCCTCCTCCTCCTCCTCCTCCTCCTCCCCTCCTCCTCCTCCACTCCCTCCTCCTCCTCCTCCCCTCCTCCTCCTCCTCCTCCTCCTCCTCCTCCTCTCCTCCTCTCCTCCTCCACCCCCCGCCTCCTCCTCCTCCTCCTCCTCCTCCCTCCTCCTCCTCCTCCCTCCTCCTCCTCCTCCTCCTCCTCCTCCTCCTCCTCCTCCTCCTCCTCCTCCTCCTCCAGGGGGGGAATTGAGAAGGAGAAGGCCTTCTCAGAAGGCGGCGGGACTTCTCAGAAGCCCTCGCGCCCTCTGAGAAGTCTGCTCTGTCTTCGGGGAAGGCTCAGAAAACTTTTCAGACGTCTGGGGGACTTCGAGCCTTCTGAGAAGGTACGCCCCTTCTCACTTTACCCCCTGGCTCGCCGCCTCAAGAGGGACGAGGAGGAGCACGACGACGACAACAACGACGACGAGCACGGGGAGGAGAGGGGGAAGCCCAAACGTGCGACGTCCCGGTTTTTTCGGCACGGCTTCCCCAGAAGTCCCGCCCATTTCCCCGGAACCGGCTTTTCATCCCGGGTCGTTTTGTCACGCTCCAGAAGCCCGGAGAGAGCCCCCCGAGGCCGAGAAAATTGTCAGAAACATCCCGCCTTGATTTTTTCCCAACCATCCTGTGGTGTTGGGTCCTCGTTTTGAAGAGACGGTGGCCCGCGTCTCCTCTCCTCTCCTCCTCCCCCTCCTCCTTGCGTTTCACCCACCCAGCACAGCGTTTCGTAGCCCCATAGGGAGCTCCACCGAAGGCCCCAGTGGCAGGGTTCGCATGGCGGCCTCGGGCCATTTCGGCACACCCCTCACGACGATCGTGGACCCATAGGGAGCTCCACCGAAGGCCCAGTGGCAAGGTTCGCATGGCGGCCTCGGGCCATTTCGGCACACCCCTCACGAGGATCGTGGCCCCATAGGGAGCTCCACGAATGCGCCAGTGGCAGGGTTCGCATGGCGGTCTCGGGCCATTTCGGCACACCCCTCACGAGGATCGTGGCCCCATAGGGAGCTCCACCGAATGCGCCAGTGGCAGGGTTCGCATGGCGGCCTCGGGCGGCCTCGGGCCATTTCGGCACACCCCTCACGAGGATCGTGGCCCCATAGGGAGCTCCACCGAAGGCCCCAGTGGCAGGGTTCGCATGGCGGCCTCGGGCCATTTCGGCACACCCCTCACGAGGATCGTGGCCCCATAGGGAGCTCCACCGAAGGCGCCAGTGGCAGGGTTCGCATGGCGGCCTCGGGCCATTTCGGCACACCCCTCACGAGGATCGTGGCCCCATAGGGAGCTCCACCGAAGGCGCCAGTGGCAGGGTTCGCATGGCGGCCTCGGGCCATTTCGGCACACCCCTCACGAGGATCGTAGACCCATAGGGAGCTCCACCGAAGGCGCCAGTGGCAGGGTTCGCATGGCGGCCTCGGGCCATTTCGGCACACCCCTCACGAGGATCGTGGCCCCATAGGGAGCTCCACCGAAGGCGCCAGTGGCAGGGTTCGCATGGCGGCCTCGGGCCATTTCGGCACACCCCTCACATCGTGGCCCCAGCTCCACCGAAGGCGCCAGTGGCAGTGTTCGCATGGCGGCCTCGGGCCATTTCGGCACACCCCTCACGAGGATCGTGGCCCCATAGGGAGCTCCACCGAAGGCGCCAGTGGCAGGTTTTGCATGGCGGCCTCGGGCCATTTCGGCACACCCCTCACGAGGATCGTGGCCCCATAGGGAGCTCCTTCGAGGGCGCCAGTGGCAACGTTCGCATGGCGGCCTCGGGCCATATCGGCACACCCCTCACGAGGATCGTGGCCCCGTAGTTGTGCTGCTTCAACAGCCGCGCCTGGACGTCGTACTCCACCTTGTCGACGTGCAACGCCACCTCCTCCCTCATGGCTCTCAAGGCCCTCTCTGCTCCTCGGTGAGAGGGACGCCGTCCTTGTCGTCGTCGGCGCCCGCGAAGACGGCCACGAACGTGTCCCTGAGCATGTCGGGCTCGGGCGGGAAGCCGTGGCCACATAGGGAGCGCGGGCGACGATGGTATTCACAATTGCGGTATTCACAACTGCATATGGTTGGGTCCTTCGCCATGCTAATGTTTATCACGCGAGCGTGTCTGGGAGCGGAGCGCCCCCCTTCCCAAGGGTGTTGATGTTTGGGCTCCACCGGGGCCTTCGAGGTGTACGCAGGCTCTGTGGCGTACGTATACAACGTGGCGCACGCAGGCGTCAGTCGCCGCGATGCGCGCGGCTGTTTTGGTGTGCGCATGTGTGCGCACGCATCGTGATGTACACAGGCGGTGCGGTGCACGCGGAACGTTTTGCTGTGGACGCAGCTATGGTGTATAAGTGCGTTGTGGTATGGCGCGTTCGCAATGATATACACAGGCGCTGTGGTTTGTTAGATTTCTGCAATGCACCAATGCAGTGCGGTGTACACAGGCGAAGCAGTGCGCGCAAAGGTTGCTGCGTCAGCATGTGTGGCAACAGCCATTCGACGGTTTGGCGCGCCTGCGTTATGTTATGTGCGGGCGAATCCACCCACCCATCCACTCTAATAACGCGCGGTCTGTGGTTGTATTAAGACCTGATGTCTTCCCGCGTTCCCTTCCCCCTGCTTTCGCCGTAACAAGCTGCAAAACAGTGTACTTGAGCCCTCCTCCTCCTCCTCCTCCTCCTCCTCCTCCTCCTCCTCCTTCTCCTCCCCCTCCTCCTCCTCATCATCATCATCATCTTCATCCTCATCCTCATCATCCTCCTCCGTCTCCTCTTGCTTCTCCTCCTCCTCCTCCTCCTCCTCCTCATCATCATCATCATCATCATCATCATCCACCTCCTCATCATCCTCCTCCTCATCATCCTCCTCCTCTTGCTCCGCCTCTTGTTCCTCCTCCTCCTCCTCCTCCTCCTCCTCCTGCTCCATTCCCGCCCTCCCCCCCCCCGCCTCCTGCCCGTGGCAGGCGGCCTTTCAATGCCACAGGCGGGGGATTGTCGACCAAGGAGAGGTAAACCAACGAGAAGCTGGAGGATCTGGTGGCGCTCCGCATGGAGACGTGCAGCCCCCTCGACGGCCACGTGCCGTGGCGGCAGCCCTTCAAGGCTCGTGGCCAAGGAGAGTGGCGAGGCCGCCGCCGCGGCGACGGAACTCCACCGCTCGAGATGGCTCGACGAGCGCTGCGGCAGGCGGCTTCGCAAGGCCAGAGGTTCGGACAGCAGTGAGTGGCTGTCGACCGGTCCCACTGGTTCAGGGGAGCGGGTACTCCAGATTTCGTAATAAAGGGAGGGGGGTCTCATTTCGGGGGGGGTCTCTTCCAGGCTATCTTGGAGGGCCTGGTGGGTCTGGGGACGATGTTTTGGAGGGTTCTCCCACGGGGGAGGTCTGAAATGGCTTGTCTTGGAGGGTCCAGACCCCCTCCCTTTTATTACGAAATCTGGAGTACCCTCCCTGCCTTACTTGCTTCGTGCTTCCGCGGAGAGCTGGCAGCACGCACTTGGGATTGGGGGGGGCCGATGTGTGGACTTCGGGGCCGAGCCGCTTCACATCCTGGGCAGCGGCCGGCGGACTGCCGTCTGCAGCCCTCTCGTGAGTGAAGTGCCAGGGTGCAGCGAGGGCCACTGCAGATTCGGGCGGGCCCCGCGGGACGCCCCGCCACGGCCCACGCGCAGGCGTTCGAGATTCTCACGAGGAAGAAGGAGATCGGGGACCGCGAGAGGCAGAAGGTCGTGGCCTCCAAGGACGAGCGCGGTGGCCCCTCTCAGACCCCGGCGTTGAGCACTCCTCTGTCTCGCCGGGCGATGTTTTGCCTTGGCGTCGGACCTCGGGACCCTCACAGATCGATCGGGCTTGGGAACCGCAGCAATCGAGGAGCAGGAGGACGAGGAGGAGGAAGAGGAGGAGGCGGAGGAGGAGGGGACAGGAGGAGGAGGAGGAGGAGGAGGAGGAGGAGGAGGACCAGACCAAAACCAGGAATCATCAACGATGTTGGAATTCACCCTCCCTTCAAGCTCCCTCTTCATAGGCCCCCACAACGGTTCATTCCCATTGAGGGAACTGCTTCGTTGGAGGACAACCGTTTGGAGATCCTGACGCATGCCAAAATCTTGTTCTAGGTATTTCAACGCCACGTATCAACCTGACTGCTGCGTCTTGACGATCAGGAATCGTGCCAGAGCGCAATTTTGGGGGATTTCGACACCGCGAACCAACATAACAGTTGCACCCGCATAATCCCGAATCCGTCCAAAACGTTATTCTAGCACGTTAATCATGGGACCCCTGGCGAATGTTTAAAACGAATGTGCGCGGCGCGGGGGCGAGAGACACATTTTGAAAACCACCCGCCCTCAATCCGTGCAGTTTTTGCAAAGTTTGAAAACAGATGTGCGCGGCGCTAGCGCGAGAGCCACATTTTGAAAACGACCCGCCCTCAATCCGTGAAGCTCTTGCAACTTTCAAAGCGAATGTGCGCGGTGCTTAGGCGAGAGACACATTTTGAAAACCACCCGACTCCAATCCGTGAAACTCTTGTAACTTTTGCAAAGCGAATGTGCGCGGCGCAATGGCGAGAGCCACATTTTGAAAACCACCTGCCCTCCATCTGTGATGCTATTGACACGTTGTAAGCTTCAGAGTCATAAGTGGTGAGGAAGTCTCAGGCGAAACGCCCGGCCCACCCTAAAAACTGGCTTCGGGGTGCGACAGGGAGGGGTTATCTATAAGGAGAAGGAATTGAGGAGGAGGGAGGAGGGAGGAGGGAGGAGGGAGAAAGGAGGAGGGCGGAGGGAGGAGAGAGGAGGGAGGAGGCCGTGTCGCTGCGTAGTTCTTCGGCGCTGCGTCGGGCCAAGGGTGGCATGTCTTGCGCGCGGTGCAGCCCTTCTGGCGGGGGCGGGGTGCGCGCGGCTGAGCCTTGTAATTACAGCGCCCCGGGCGGCCCCGCTGAGGCGAGGAGGTCAGGCGAATGGCGGAGGTGCGGGCGGGAGGCCGGGGGAGGGGCAGGATTAGAAGTCGGGCGCGTCCCTCTACAGCAGGAAGATGATTCAAATCTTGTCAAAACATAAGCCACGCGCAGAGGGGGGTGGGGAGAGGGGGGAGGGCTTCTTAGAAGCACCCCTGCTTCTAAGAAGGCGCGCGGGCCTTATCTATAGATGTAAGGCAACCGGCTTCTAAGCAGCAGCCGCCTCCGTCTAAGAGGCCCTCCCCCCCCCCCACCCGCCTGATCGCGCCGCCAAAGATAGTCGAGGGGCGATTTTTTGCCGATTGCTTTTGGCTACTGGTCATGTTCTGACCATGCTGTATTTTTCGTCTACACTCCGCCTGTAGGAGGACATGCCCGACCCAAGGGCTATGATGTTCCAACCTACTGTAGCCTTGAGCACCAGGAAGAAGTTCGAGCACCAGAAAAGCGCACCCAAATTCAAAGATTTTCACGTGTCGGGCCCTGGGAGACACTCGTCCGACACTGTTTCGACACTCTTTCGACGCTCTTTCGACACTTTTCCAGGTGCTCGAAATTATCGAGGAGGGGAAAACACACACACACAGACACAGTCAACCGTCGATTCCCAGGAACATATGCGAAAATACGGGACGTGGGGGGGGGGGAAGACGAAAATCCAAACAATATGGAAAAATATCGGGGCTACTGTGATTTGTGTGTATTGATTTGCGTGCCCCAGGGCCCCCTCAATGATTTCTGGGATGTGGCCCTTACGTACCATGGGAGCAACATCACCCACGGGCAGGAGAGGCAACCCGGACCCCCGCGGGCCACGACAACAAAATCAGGACGGGTGGTTTCTCGCTGCGTTCGGCCCCAGGGGCCCCTATACCGGCCCTCGGCACCGTCCACACAAGAGCCTGTTTTTACTTAACAGCGTAGACTGATAGGTTTCTAATGGTCTCAAAAGAGAGCAGCAAATGACTCCACAGGAGGGTTTGGGCAGCCGTTGGGGAGGTGTTGGGGTTTGCCGGCCGGGATCGTTTTTCGCATACAGTCACACACTTCGTGCTCTTCGACCTCCCAGAACTCCATTCCCGGGCGACATTCTGAATGCCCGGAGCCAACTGTAGGCCACTTCGTGCTCTTCGACTTCCCAGAACTCCATTCCCGGGCCACATTTTGAATGCCCGGAGCCAACTGTAGGCCACTTCGTGTCTTCGAGTTCCCAGAACTCCATTCCCGGGCCACATTTTGAATGCCCGGAGCCAACTGTAGGCCACTTCGTGGTCTTCGAGTTCCCAGAACTCCATTCCCGGGCCACATTTTGGATGCCCGGAGCCAACTGTAGGCCACTTCGTGGTCTTCGAGTTCCCAGAACTCCATTCCCGGGCCAGATTTTGGATGCCCGGAGCCAACTGTAGGCCACTTCGTGGTCTTCGAGTTCCCAGAACTCCATTCCTGGGCATGAATTTGAATGCCCGGAGCCAACTGTAGGCCACTTCGTGTTCTTCGAGTTCCCAGAACTACATTCCCGGGCCACATTTTGAATGCTGAGGCAGGCTGAGGCTGAGGCTGAGGCAGGCTGATGCTGAGGCAGGCTGAGGCTGAGGCTGAGGCTGATGCAGGCTGAGGCTGAGGCAGGCTGAGGCTGAGGCCGAGGCTGAAGGCAGACTGAGGCTGAGGCTGAAGCAGGCTGAGGCTGAGGCTGAGGCAGGCTGAGGCTGAGGCAGGCTGAGGCTGAGGCTGAGGCAGGCTGAGGCTGAGGCTGTGTCTGTGACTGCCGTTGCCACTGCGACTGTCATCGCGAATGCGACTACGACTGCGAGAACAGCACAATTCTACAACTGGATTCTCATCTGAATCTTAAGGGGAATGCTTCCAGATATGCTCCTACACATCGCTGTTAGGTTGCTTTGCCGGGATAATTTTTTGGATTCAGGCAAGTTTACTTGCATGGCGTTCGCCCCCCCCCTCCCCCCTCGCCCCTCTTCAAGCGAATACTAGCGTGCAAGTGCCTTTCGACTTGCGTGATTTCCGCGCCCCCCCGAACGTGCAAGTCGTTTGCGGCTTGCTTCAGGCTCAGCCCCCACCCCCCCGTCCATGCAAGTAAACTTGCCAGAGTCTAAAAAAAACAGGCTCCAACGACTCGGGATGCAAGACCGGTCCCGGGGAACGGGTCCAGACCGCTGGGGGTCATGAAAAAATCACGACGGGAGGTGTTTCATCGATTTCGGCCTCTTCGGGCCCTCACCGGCCCTCGGGACCGTCCAAAACGATTCAGGGCGAGAAACCGGTCCCGGGGAATCGGTCCAGACCGCTGGGGGTTCGCGTAGTGAAAATCATGACGTCGGGGGCTGGGAAGTCGGAAGCCTTGAGACGGGGGATCTCCTGAGGGCCCCTTCAGGCCTCCTGGGCGCCCCTTGGGGCCCTCTTGGGGCACTCTCGGGAGCCGTGGATACCATCTTGTAGGCATCTTGGGGGAGACTGGTCAAAGAAGGGCGGGGGGGCTCAATGAGGGTCCCCCCCCCTAGGACCGATGCCGTCTTGGAGGCTCCGATCGGTCGTGAACCCCCCCGTCCAGGTCCAGGGGAGGGGGCAGGGGGAAGTGTCAAGGCGCCCTCCCCGTCCGCAAGCTGCCTCGCCCACTCCCACCCGCCCGCCGAACAGATAAGTAGCATGAAGTCGGGCACGCCCCCCTGCAGGATGAATATTCAGCAATAGTTTTTTGTTTAAAAAAGAGTGGTGACAATTTGTCTGTTATTTTGTACCATTTGGGGGTATGTTTGACTATTTTTATTTTTCGTCCAAAATCTGCCTGTAGGGGGAGATGCCCGACCTAAAAGTAGCACGCGAGCCTCAGGTGGGTTTGTTTGTATTCATTATTTTGCCGATCGGCGCGGGCCCTCGCACCCCCTCCCCCTCCCCCCACCCCCTGGAGTAGATTTTGGCTGCAGTCGCACTAGGCAGAGGTCCGGGGCCAGACCCCCCCCCTCACCCCGTTCGCCCAATGTCGAAACGCCCAATAAAAAAACGCTCACCATGTTCAGCGGTCGTTTATGGATGGACAGCCATTGGGAACCAACACGGACCACGTGTGCGACGCTGGGGCGAGTTGCGCCATGCGTGCCAGGTGTGCCAGGCGCGCCACGCGCGCCAGGTGCGCCAGGCACCCCTGGGGCCCAAGCGTGCCAGGCGCGCCTGGCGCGCCGGATTCGCCACGTGCTCCACGTGCGCCATATATGCCGCATGTCCCAGCCGCGCCAAGCGCGCCACGTTCGGGGCACGCGCAGAGTGTGTGCCAGGTGCGCCCGCGCACGTGACAGCACACATCAGGAACATGTCGGCCCCATCATCCGTGTCGAGAGCCAATGCACAATCGCGGCGGGAAGGCCATCATTGTGTCTGCTGGGCCAGCGCACAGCAGGCGCCGTCCTTGTCAAAAACTAATGGACAGTGATTGCAGGGTGGCTAAGCGTTCTCCAGATTTAGCCTCGAATTGCATGTTGATTTGTTTTGACAGGCAACATGCGCCCCCCCCCCCGCCGCCATTTTTAAGAAGCAATGCGAAATGCTCGCTGGGCCCACGATCATGACCCAAGATTGTGCCCCAAAGCATATTTCGTATGGCTTTTGACAGAGATGGTGGGGGGGGGTCATTGGTCCTGGTCGGCTGCCGGTCGCCTGGGGGACTGCGGGTCGCCTGGGGGAGGGGGCGCTTATCAACAGGAACAGTAATTAACCCGCCCCAGAAGGGGAAGAAAGGGGGTTGGAAGAGGAAATTCGCTAAACCACGCACGCCCTGAGGGGCTGGTGGGATTCTTGACGCTTCGCGTATTCCTACCAGTTTTCGTTCAGCGCCCCGAACGTTGCCCCGCTTCTTGACCTTCGTCCTGGAGCCGCCGACCAAAAAAACGTATTCCTACCAGTTTTCACCCGGAAGCTCTTCCAGGTGTGCGCCGTCTGAGCGGCAGCGAGGCTCGCCTCCTGTTTGCCCCCCTCGTTTGGTCTTTTCTCTTCCGCAGAACTTCCGCGTTCGTCCTCTTCCTCTGTGCGCCTCCCTCATCCTGTGCGCTAATTTAGGCCGTTGCATCTGCGCTTCGTTCCTTTACGCCGCCCGGCCTGTCTCGCCGCCGTCTCGATCAAAAAAGTACCCCACCAGTCCATCCCTAGAGAATCTCCAGGCGAGTTGCCCTGATCAGGGACGTGTAGCAGCATGCAATCACGTTCTGGGGGCCTCTTGGGGGCCTCGTGGGGCCCTTTTTGGACCTGTTAGGGTAAGTTTGAGGCCTTTTGGGGCGCTGCGCCGCAGAAGGGCGGGGTCGAGGGCTCTGTCGCGCTCCCCCACGATCTTGCACTTTCTTGCGACGTCGGATCTCCAGGCATTCGGGTACATATCTGGGCCCTGGGCCTCGAAGGCATCCATATGGTACAAGCTGTCTCCCGAGGTGCTGGCGGATCGGCCTCCAAAGTGGTTGTTATTTGCAGATCACGGCCCCGGAATCTGCCCGAGGGGAATCGGAGCAGCTGCCAAGGCTGGGCGCTCGACGACGCTGTCTTCAGACAGCGCGCCCAGAGAGGGATCACCCCCGACCTTCGTGGAGGACGGGGCAGGAACGCGCGATGGCAAATGTCTCCAAAGGTTGGACCTCTGGATGCCAGTTTCGGGCTCACGGGTTGTATAGAGAGGATGGGACAAACGCAAAAACAGCGTTTGACGCACTCTTCGTGCATGGGAGCGGTCGTTGACGCAGCAGCCTTGCTTGGCTCTGCAGCCTGCGCCAGGCCATTGCTCTTTATCCTCATCCTCCTTTTCGGCACTCTCTCTTTCTCTCTCTCTCTCTCGCTTTCTCTCTCCCCAGACCCCCGACGTCATGATTTTTTTCATGACGTCGACCTTCAGAGGTCGAAGACCCATTCCCTGGGACCGGCTTTTCGTCCTGAGTCGTTCTTTTGTACGGTCCCGAGGGCCAGCAAGGGCCCCCGGAGGCCAAACATAACGAAACACTTCCCGTCGCGTTTTCTTCCTAATTCGAGGGGTCTAGGTCTCTCTCTCTCTCTTTTTCTCTTTCTCTCCAGAACCGAGGATCGTGCCACACATGTGGCGCGCTGCTCCGGCGGCGCCTCCTCGCTCCAGCGCGCGAGGGCGCCTCCGCACACTGCCGGCGCCTGCCGGTGCCTCCCGTGGCCGGAGCGTCGCCCCGCGGCCGGCCGTGGAGGCACGTGCGTGCGCTCCCCTGCCAGTCACCGCTGCGCGTGGCTGTGCGAGCGTGTGCTCGTCAAGCAGTGGCCAAGCGTCCTGGTCAAGCAGTGGCGAAGCGTCCTGGCTCGCCTATAGCCCTACCAAACAATGATCTAACAACCTTTTGTGGCTCCCAGGAAATGTTCTTAAAACATTTCTGGTTGAGACCGTCTTGTTTTAACACATCGGGCTAATGTTCTAAGAACAATGTTTTTGTTCTTAGAACATCTTCGGGTTCTAAAAACATGTCGTGGTATGACTATAGGAATGCCGGGACGGTCGGTCCCTGCTCACTGTGCGAACGTGTGCTTGTCAAGCAGTGGCCAAGCGTCCTGGCGTGCCTAGAGGTGGAGGCCTAGAAATTGGCACCAACACCAGCACAGGGGGTTGCCTCCACATGGGGAAGATGATCCTAGATTTCGGTGTTGGTGGCAATATTTCGGTCACCTTTGAAGCCAGAATACTACCACCATCACCGAGATCGGGATCTTTTTCTTTCGGTGGAGGCACACCCCCGATTTTAGTGTTGGTGTCAGGACCGTCTCGTTTTGACACGTTGGGCTTATGTTATGAGAACGCTGGTCTTGTCCTCAGAACATGTTTGGGTTCTAAGAACATGTCGTGGTAGGACTATAGGAATGCCGGGGCGGTCGGTCCCTGCTCAGCTTGGGTGCGTGTCGGGGTGTTTTCTGCCGCTGCCTCACGCTGCCCCTGAGCGGGCCGCTGGCGTCGCTGCCTGTGCCTCGCTGTCGCGCACCATGTGTCAGGTCGGGCGTGTCCCTCTACAGGAGGAATATATTCAGAAATAGTTAAAAATAGTATGGGGACGATGTTTTGAGTATTTGTGGGCATGTTTTAATTTTGTTTACTGTATACGAAACTATGTTTCATTTTTCGTCCAAAATCCGCCCGTCGGAGGACACCTAAATAGGACCTAAACCTTGTGTCTGCACGTGCAACCCTTTTCGGTGGCCCGCCATCGGACCTCGCTCGGTGGCAATCGCTTCAGCGTAAAATCCGCTCACGCCCTTGCTGAGTTGGACCAGCTTGCCGCGAAGCAAAAGAATATGTGTCGTGTGTACGTGCGTGTGTGCGTGTGCCATCCGCGGCCAGATGGCCATGTTCTCCCCCCTTCTGAGCCGGCGCGCGCGGACACCGGCCTAGATTTCGGCCGCCGCATTTGATTTGCTTCGCTTCGTCGCCGCGCGCGAGGCTGCGACCGCCCAACAAGTTTGCGTGCTGATGTGCGCTGGCGGGAGTGTTGGAGGGAGTTTGTGCCTGCGCCTGCACCTTTTGTCTGCGCGCGGGGGGCTTGTCTTGTATGCGCGTGTGTGCGCGCGCCTGCTGCCGTCTGCGCGCACGGCGCCCTGGCAAGTACAGTTGAGATCGCGTTCGGTTCGGGGGGGGGGCCCTGATGTTCTTCGTGCTTGTGGGATGTTCTCGTGCATCCTGGGGGGGGCAGCCCCGGATACTCTGCGTGCTGTGGCCAGCGGAGGGTCCTCGTGCTCTCGAGCGATGTTCTTCCATCCTTGGTCCGGCTGCACAGTGCCGTTTTTAATACATGGTCCGCGTGCGGATCATGTATGAAAAATGCAGGGATTTACGATTAAAACAACGATGAGTTCATGCATACATTTATTCATCAGTTAATCATGTATTTTAAGTCCTCTATATATATATATATATTATTTAAAAAATGTTTTTTTTGACTGCCCTGTAGCTCGTGGGCCGTGCCACGGGTCCTCGGGCGGCCCCCCGCTGCAATCCCCCCCCCCCTGCCCCGAGGACGCGCTGAAGGCGGACATAGACGCCCTGCGCACAGACCTGGGGGCCGGGCGCCCAGAGGGGCCGAGCCACCCGTGCGCTGGTCGTCGACGTCTCACGGGACGAGCGGCCCAGCTTCGAGCATTGGGGAAGCGTCCTGGCCTGCCTAGAGGCCCAGCGAAGAATGTGGTCTAAACAAATTATGTGGTTGGCACAGGCTGTGCTCAGGGCATTTCTGGCCGAGACTGTTTTTTGTGCAGTACATCGGCAAAAAGTTATAAGAAAAGTGCTTTTGTTCTTAGGAAGTCCCCCTGTGCTAGGAAGACCTCGTGGTAGGCCCACGAGAATGCCGGGACGGTCGGCCCGTGCTCAACCCCTCTTTCCCGTCAGGTCCGACGCCGCGGACACATTGGGGCACCGTGACACATCACAGCGGGAGCCCCGAGTCCCATCTTCCTGCGCCATCTTTCGACCCAGACCCCCGACGTCATGATTTTTCATGACGTCGGCCCCCGGAGGTCTGGACCCATTCCCCGGGACCGGTTCTTCGTCCTGAGTCCTTGTTTCACGGTCCCGAGGGCCGGTAAGGCCCTTGGAGGCCGAAAATAACGAAAAACCTCCCGCCGGGATTTTTTCGTGACCCGAGGGGATTTACTTGGGGAGCCGGATGGACTCGTATGAGGGCCGCGGGGGCCGACACACGGCGGCAACGCCCGGCTCGAGGGCCTCGAGGCGCCGGGATCTCGGGGCCCGACGGGGCCCCCGCGCGCCGAGGCAGGGGCGGTGATAGCTCTTCGCCGCCTGCCGGCCTCCGGGTCTCACACACACAAACTCGCACGCGTGTGTCAGGAGGGGCAAAAGCACAGAGACACATTATTCATCGTCGCTCCCCCAGAAGATATGGGAGGATATGGGAAGTGGGGGGGGGAAGGCAAAACCGGGAAAAGATGGGGAATCCTATTAGTTGTGTCTATCTTTTTGTGTGTCCCAGGGCCCCTCCAATATTGTTTAGCTTCTGAAGGAATTCAGTATGACATCCGGAAGTATCAAAGATTCAACGACATTGAGGTTGAACAGCTGTACAGGAGTAAGTATGACATTCGAGATTCGACTATTCGAGAATTGAGCATGGCATTCGTGAAAGTGAAAAGACAAGAGAATACCCCCGAATCTGCAATCAAAGGAGGGGGGGGCCCAGAGGGGCATACACCAAGAGACGGCCCTGGGGCGAGGAGCTGACCAGGGGGGATCTCGTGGACGCGTGGCTGGGAGGGCTCTTTTGGCCAGTGCCTGTCTGCCCAGGTGGGGTTGGAGTACAGTGGAGACCCATGCGAAGAAACACCCTTTTTCGAAGGATTGCAAAAAAAACCCTCGAAGGTTTTTTGTGCAATCCTTCGAAGGGTTGTTTTGCAATCCTTGTTGCAATCCTTCGTTTTTTTGCAATCCTTGCTTCCAGGGTGGTGATCGTTTTTTGTTGCTTGTTTTGCCGATCGGCGCGGGTCCACAACCCCCCCCTCCTCCTTCCCCCCCCATGGAGTAGATCTTGGCTGTTGTTCGGCGCCTGTTTCCTGTTTCGAGCGGGTGGAGTCTCCCCCAGAGGCCGCACTCTTGCAAACCGTCGCGCTAAGCAGAGGTCTGGAGCCAGACCCCCCCCCCCTCCCCCCCCTTCCGCCCAATGTCGAAACGCCCATAAGAAAAAACGCTCACATGCCCTTGGTTTCTCGGGTTTCGATGGTTTTGCTACGGAAAGCGTGACGCGCCCACACCAAAAATCAATGGACGCCCTGGGGTCTCAGGGTTGGGTTTCTTGTTGAAGGTTGCTTGTGGACTGGCCTCCACTGTAGATGGGGTCGGAGGATCGCGCCGCATCGCCGATGCATCGCCGATGCGGCTCGATGTGCAACCCCATTTGCCTTACTCGACGTCGCCGATGCATCGCCGACGTCGACGATGCATCGCAGGTGCATCGCCGATGCACCGCCGACGCGTCGCCGATGTATCGGCGATGCGGCGTCATCATCATCCTCATCCTCATCCTCCTCCTCTTCCTCGTCTTCCTCCTCTTCCTCCTCCTCCTCCTCCTCCTCCTCCTTCTCCTTCTCCTTCTCCCCCCCTCCCTCCCTCGTCCGCGATCCTCCGACCCCATCTGCTCCGACCCCATTTATACGGCCTCCCGCGTGGTGCCAGACACCCGGGCCCCCCATCGGGCCGTGGAGACATCGAGGCGGGAGGAGGTGTCTCGCCATGCTCGGCCTCTGGGGGCCCTCACCGGCCGTCGGGACAGTCAGACATTTTGATCGGGACGGCCAGCGAGTCCAGGCCCCCCTTCGGGCCGTGAAGGCATCACGACGGCAGGCGTCTCGCCATGCTCGGGCTCTGGGGGGCCCTCCACCGGCCGTCGGGACAGCCAGACATTTTGATCGGGATGGCCAGCGAGTCAAGGCCCCCCTTCGGGCCGTGAAGACATCACGACGGGAGGAGGCGTCTCGCCAGGCTCGGGCCCTGGGGGGCCCTCACCGGCCGTCGGGACAGCCGGACATTTTGATCGGGATGGCCAGCGAGTCCAGGCCCCCCCTCGGGGCCGTGAAGACAGCACGACGGGAGGAGGTGTCTCGCCATGTTCGGGCTCTGGGGGCCCTCACCGGCCGTCGGGACAGCCAGAGCCTGTTTTTCTTTTGACCCAGGCAAGCTTACTTTCATGGCGTTCGCCCCCCCCCCCCCCCCCCTCGCCCCTCTTCAATCGAACACGAGCGTGCAAGTGCCTTTCGACTTGCGTGATTTCCGCACGTCGAACTGTTTTCGGCTTGTTTCAGACTCAGCCCCCCCCCCGTCCATGCAAGTAAACTTGCCCGAATCTAAAGAAAAACAGGCTCCCAACAACAGTCTTCGGGAGGAACAGCGAGTCCAGGCCCCTCGGTCCGTGGAGAGAGCATGCCAGGAGGAGGGTTTTCGCCATGTTCGGCTCTGGGGGCCCTCACCGGCCGTCGGGACAGCCCGACAATTCGTCGAAATGGACAATGAGTCCAGCCCCCTCGGTCCGTGAAGAAAGCACGACGGGAGGTTTCTTGTCATTTGTGGCTTCTGGTTGCCCTCACCGGCCGTCGGGACAGTCAAGCACATTTTTCGGGATGAGCAGGCGAGTCCCAGCGAATGGGTCCAGACCGCGTGGGGGTCCACGCCATGAAGCAATCATGACGTCGGGGGTCTGGGGACGTGTCGCGCGCCTTTTTGAGCGTTCCTCGGCCAAGCGCCTTCATGTCAGGAAGACAAGATTATTGGGCTGGGAGGATGGGGTTGGGAGACATGAGGATACCCTTACCCCTAGGCGGCCGAAGGTATCGTTCATTACATCCCGATGCTATTGCTCGTGCCCTCCATCCTTCCAACCCCTTCCTCCCAGCACGATAGTTGTTCTCCACGTCCGGCGCCGGCGTGCATGCAAGGGGATGGCGACAGGCTGCCGAGGGCACAGCGCAAGGGGTGCCTTCTGCGAGCTCGCTGCCGCCGGCAGGGCCAGCGCCTCCCCGGGGATGCACGCCGCGAGCCAGGAGATCATGGCGTCGGGGGTCTGGTCTTCGGGGCCGGCCCTGGCGGGGGCCGGCCTGCCCCTAAGTCGGGCATGTGCCTCTACAGGAGGGATATTCAGGAATGTCAAAGCAATGGTTTGGTGACGAATGTGGTGTTTGTCAGGAAATGCAACAACGACTAAGTTTGATCATTGGTTGACTACTGCTTGTTTTTCTTCCAAAGTCCGCCTGCAGGAGGACATGCCCGACCTAAACCTACCCCCTCGGATGTACCTCCTGGCTGGCCCGTGTTGGGGCCCCCCCCGCCGCCGGCGTTCAAAGTTGCACGGCGCCAGCGACCTAGAATCGGTCGATGTTGCACGATCTGAGAAGATGTCGGAAAGGGCCGATCGTGCAAGGTGGAACCATCTCCTCGGTGTCAGGAGCCATCGCCAGGTGCGACACGACACGACGCAGCGGCAGGGGGATCAAGGCTTGCGGGAGAGTGGCCCCGAAGGGTCCCTAATGTAAGGGGCCCCTAAAGTGCCACCGCGGGCCCCAGAAGGGGAACGAACGGTGCACGCATCCTGACCGACCCCATGTTCTCTGCCCAACGTCAATCGTCCACGCGCAGGAGAGGGGTATAAAACGAGGGTCTAGGGTAGGGGGAGGGGGAGGGGGTAGGGGGGGGGGGGCGGCTTCTTAGAAGCACCCCTGCCTCTTGGAAGGCGCGGGCCTTGTCTGTGGACGTAGGGCCCGCGGCTTCTGAGAGGCAGCCTCCCTCTAGGAAGCCCTCCCCCTCCCCCCTGCCCCCCCCTCCTGCGCGCCGCAGATCCTTGCCCAACGCTGAAGAACTTCCGAAGGGGTTGGGTCGACCCCAGATGAAGTGGCGTCCGGCAAGGTCGGCGCGTCCCCGTCAGAGGCCCCCTCCAGGAGGAAGCGCAGGTCCACCTGCCAGATCTGTCGTCCAGGATTAAGTCGGGCCTGTCCCTCCACAGGGGGGACATTCAAGATAGTCCAAAAATCGTCAGGGGACCATGTGTGGAGTATTTTTAACATTGTTCGGGGTATTTGTTTGACTATTTTGGATTTTTCGTCAAACATCCCGCTGTAGGGGGACACGCCCGCCCTAAGCCCAAGATCCGATTTACTCATGCCATCTCCCCTCCGTTCCTGTTCCCATCCTCGGGATCTCTTCCGCGCTCCAATCAGCCACGAGGCTGCCACTCGCCAGCGGGCAAAATGTAAGGCGAAACGGATCTGCTCGTTCTTGCGAGCGCTGCCGCAGTCGATGGTCAGGACGTGGTGTTCTGCCCAGGCTGCCCTCACACCCATGGCCCGTCGTCCCATGCTGAGCCACGAATCATGAAGATGTTTGCCCGAGGCCTCTGCAACTGCTTCCCCGCGCCCTTACCGTACGCCCTCGCCGTGGAGTTCGGCTCTGCCCCCGCCCCGCGTGAACCAGGACGTTGCAGACCAGGATCCGGCGGCAGAATCCCAACCCCGCCCTCGCCGATCAACGGTTCAGGCATCTCGATGGGCGGCGGGGGCAGGATTTGGAGTTCGTCGACCACGCGGCGAAGTCCGAACCATGCCCCCGCCTCGCCTCGATTCAGGAGCAGCGATGGTTGGCGGGGGGAGGGCTCCCGATGTCGCCACCTCAGGGATTCACTAAGTCCCCGGCGGGAGAGAACGTTTCCTTCCGACGTGAGGTTACGACCATAACAACACTCATCGCAAACAATCACCACTGGAGCCTTGGGCCCCAACTGTCCGCGTCGTTTGAAATCGGGCCTGTCCCTCTGCAGGAGGAATCTTCAAAAATAGTCAAACAATAGTCTGGGGACGATTTGTACTTTTAAATTTGTTTTTAATCTTCTTTGTGTATCTTTATTCTTCCGTCCAAAATCGGCCTGCAGGGGGACATGCCCGACCTAAGCGTCGTTCCCTGACCCCCGGCGTCATGATTTTTTCATGTCGTGGACCCCCAGCGGTCTGGACCCGTTCCCCGGGAACGGTTTTTCCTCCCGAGTCCGTTTTTGACGGTCCCGAGGGCCGGTAAGGGCCTTCAGAAGCCGACAATAGCGAACAAATCCTAGCCGTGGTCTTTCTAAGCCTCCTCGGGTCGGGGTATTCTATTTCACTTATCAAACGTGGGGGCGCGAAGTCGGGGGTGTGCCACGCCGGCGAAAATCATCCCAGGGCCAAATCTTCACGCCGGCAAGAAATACGTCGCCCAAACGCTGGCGAAAATTATGCACCATCTCAGTGCCGCCAATGATAACGATGAAAATAGTGAATATGATAATGAAGGTGGTGATGACGATGTTGATATTGATGATGGAGCAAAGATGCAGACGGTTCTGCAAGATGCGGTGACTGGACCAAATTGTGAAGATGGCGATAACGCTGATCATGAGGATGGTTGTAGCAGTGACGATGATGATGACGATGATGATGATGATGGTGATGATGATGATGATGATGATGTTGATGATGATGATTATGATGATAACGATGGCGATGATGCTAGTGGACATCAGGACGACGAAAATGATGGCGACGAAGATGGGGAGGAGGACGACGAAGGGGATGCCATCACATGTGCCACCTTTTCGTCTTACGTCTCGGGGCCTACATGGACCTCATTTTGGCAGTCTTGGGTCTGTCCTGGTCTCCTGACGGGCACTCATGAAGGTCCCATGTGGCTCTCTGGGGCCGTCATGGGGACCTCTTGGGCCGTCTTGGGGGGTTGTCTGTCATTGGGCCTTCGTGGCCGTCTGGGCGGTGTCTTGGGACCGTCGTGTGGCCTTCGTGGCCGTCGTCGCAATGCGCGAGCGCGGTTGCTGCATAATTGACGAACATCTGCACGAAGCACATCCCAATAACTGACAATTTTGCAAACGATATGTATTCATAGGCGCCGGCGAAAATTGAGCCGCCATCTCGCGAGGGCCGGCGGTAATGTTCTTCGGGGCCCAATGCCGGCGCAAATTACATTGGTGCCCAAAAGTGCGCGCTGTGAAGATCACTCGACCCTCCCCTGCTGCGCGCAGCCGCGCGCTGGTGCCGAAGCGCCTCGCCCCGGGCATTGTTTCGCCGACGTGACTGTGATTGTGTGTCCCCCGGCGGCGAAGCAAGACCCCCTCAAGTCATGAAGAAGTCACGATTGGCAGGTTCTCGCTATGTTCGGCTCCAGGGGGCCCTCACCAGCCTTAAGTCGGGCCTGTGCCTCTACAGGAGGAAAGTTCAAAAATAGTCCAAAAATAGTCTGGGGACGATTTTTTTGGTTTAACTATGTTTGATCATTTGGAATGGTTTTCGCTATTTTTGATTTTTTCTCCAAAGTCGGCCTGTAGGGGGACGACCAGCCCTCGGGACCGTCAAGAAACAACTCGGGAGGAGAAACCGGCCCTGGGGAGTGGGTTCAGACCGCTGGGGGGCCACGTCATGCAAAATCCATGACGTCGCGAGTCTGGATCCGCCGATGCGAGTGTTTCTCGGCGGCGAGCCCGGGGGGAAGTGATAAGGAGAATGCCTTCTAAGAAGGCTCGGAATTTCCTCGGCCTTCTGAGAATTGTTCTATATGCCTTCCCGGAAGACACGGAGAACTTTATCAGCAGGAGCGAGGGCTTCTGATAAGCCCCGCCGCCTTCCGAGAAGGCCTTCTCCTTCTCGCTGCCCCCAATCGTTCGCCGCCCAGTTTCACCCCTGGGGGCCCAGACATGTTCGCGTCATGCAGAAATGATGCCGGAAGGTGTCGTATCGCCGTTTTCGGCCCCTCGGGGCCCTCACCGGGCCGCGGGATCGTCACAAAGCTGCTCGAGCCGAAAGCTGGGCTCCGGGGAATGCGTCCAGACCGCTGGGGGTCCAAGTAACAATTCATGACACACGACGTCGGGGGTGTGGAGGGGCAACGATTAAGTCGGGCGTGTCCCTCTACGGGAACAATATTCAAAAATAGTAACAACAAAGAATATGGGGCTCATCTTGTGGTTATTTTCGGTCGATTTCGAGTATTATTTGACCATCTTTGATTACTGGTTTGGCATGCAAGCTCCGCCTGTAGGGGGACACGCCCGACCTCAGGCAATGAGCATTGCTGTTCTCCTGCTGCACCCAGTGAGAGTACGTGACACGAGATGAAGGAAAGGCTCGCCGAGGACTTTGCCGACGCTCGCTGTGAACTCGCTGGCTAAGCTTGCTGGAGCCTAGAACCAGAGTCGGCCTGCGTGAAAAGGGCCGTCCGCTGGATCGGGCGCTTGCCGCTGCGCCCGATCAGCCTGCCGCGCGCGCGGTGTTTCAGCATCCGCGCGTCAGGGCGCCACGACGCGTAGAACGGCTGGTTGTTTGATTGCAGCGACGTGCCCTGGCTTGCGTCAAGGACGTAACGGCGCCAGCGCGCTTGGGGCTGGGCAATGGGGGGGGGGCAGGTCTTCGTCCCGGATCTGCTTTTTGAGGGCCCCGCGGGGTCCGAAAACTGCCCCTGGGGGCCGACATCGAGGCAGAGAAAACGCGGGTCGCACCAGGTAAACGCATCTTCTGAGATCTGGGTCCTCCGTTGACGGGCAAGCGATGTGCGGGAAGTGAAAAGCAGAAGGCCTTCTCGGAAGGCGGCGGGGCTTCTCGGAAGTCCTCGCGCTTTCTGATTGATGTTTTGTGTTTCTGGGGATCAGTTAGGAGACTTCTCAGAAGGCCGGGGGACTTCGCAGCCTTCTGAGATATCCCGCCGCCTTTGAGAAGGCCTTCTCCTTCTCACTTCCCCCCTCGCTCGCCGCCGAAACTGGTCGACGGTTGACTTGAGATGTTTTTGCTCGGGCTGGACTTCTCAGAAGCCTTCGCGCCGTCTGCGAGGTTTCTCGTGTCTTTCGGGCAGGCCCCGGGCATTTCTCAGACGGCCCGGGAGGCGTCTCGAGCCTTCTTAGAAGGCCTTCTCTCTGGACGCCCGAAATGGGTACCGAAAGAATGGGTAAAATGCCCAACAACAATTCCTGTTCATTTTGAACAGGATTCGCTGTCCGCGCCGCCGCAGCCTGTGTCCATTCGAGACAGAAGGTCGCCTGCCCAACAGCGGCCGCTGTCGGCTTGGGACAACATTTGTTGTTGGGCATTAGTGCCCATTCTTTCAGCACCCATGTCGGGCGTCCAAATTCTCCCTCTCGCCGTCCCCCCTCCCCCAGGCTGGCCGTCTATATGCTCACGCAGCAGCCGCTTCTGGGCCCTCGAGCCCGGGAGGCGTCTCGAGCCTTCTTAGAAGGCCTTCTCTCTGGACGCCCTCCCCCAGGCTGGCCGTCGATGCGCATGCAGCAGCCGTTTCTGGGCCGAGGGGCGCCGCGGCGGCGAGGCCTCGCTGGCGGGCCATGCCCACCGCGGCGGAGGGCGGCCGCCCCCAGGCTCAGAAGCGGAAGAAGGACGTACGCGTGCATCCGGCCGACGTCACCCCAACATATTTGCTACTCCAGATTTCGTAATAAAGGGATGGGGGTCTCATGTCGGGGGGGGTCTCTTCCAGGCTATCTTGGAGGGCCTGGGGGGGTTTGGGGACGATGTTTTGGAGGGTTCTCCCACGGGGGGGGTCTAAAACTTCTCGTCTGGGAGGGTTGAGACCCCCTCCCTTTTATTACGAAATCTAGAGTATACTATATGTGCGCTGCCCCCCCAGGGGCGACGCGCGCACCGAGAGATCTTGTAGTATATGCGTCGTGGCGGGCGCTTCCTGGCCACGCCGATCGGGAAACAGTATACTAGAAGATGGGTCTACTATATGTTCGGGTCGGACGCTCGCATCCAAGGAGGACATTTAAGTAGTCTTAGTGTATGCTCTGTGCGCCCCACGAATAAATCCACGCTGGTTTCGAGCGTGCGCCTTGCGCGAGCGTTCGTATCACGCGGGCAGGTGTGCGGGACTCCCGACGCCATATGAGTTTCTGTACCGCGTCGGCCCCCAAAGGTCTCGACCCGTTCCCTGGGACCGGTCTGACATCCTGAGCCGTTTCCTGACGGTCCTGAGGGCCGGCAGGGGCCGAACATCGCGGAAAACCTACCGTCTCATGATTTGGTCATGACCCGAGGGCCGAGGGGGTCCAGGCTTCGCGGGCTGGGGGGCCGTGTTCATGCACGTGGCTGGGCGCGCACGTCCTCTGTGGGCTCCCTACGCCCCCAGGCGGACCCCGAGGGGAGCCCGGAGCGACCGCGCACGGCAGACGCCGAGCCGGAGCCGGAGGACGACGACCGCGACCGCACGGAGGCGACCGAGGACCGGGCGGGCTTCCCGGACCCAGACCCCCTCGAGTTCTGAAAAATCCCTCCTCCTCCTCCTCCTCCTCCTCCTCCTCCTCCTCCTCCTCCTCCTCCTCCTCCTCGTCCTCCGCCTCCGCCTCCTCCTCCTCCTCCTCCTCCTCCTCCTGCTCCTCTTGATGGGGGGTCTCACCAGCCCTCGGGCCGTCTAGAACCGGCTCGGGAGAAAAAGCCAGTCCCGGGAGGATGGGTGCAGGCTGCTGGGGGTCCACGTCATGAAAAATACATGGCGACGGGGGTCTGGGGAGATCCTTCGGCGGCGTGCGAGGGGGGGGGAGCGAGAAGGAGAAGGCCTTCTCACCTCCCCCTCTCGCTCGCCGCCGAAATTGGTTGACGGTTGATTTGAGATGCGCCTTCTGAGAGGAGTTTTCCGCGTCTCCGGGGAAGGCTCAGACAACTTCTCAGAAGGCGGGGGGACTTCTGAGACTTCGTGGAAGGCCCGCCCCTTCTCACTTCCCCCCATGGCGCGCCGCCAGAGCAGGCGACCGATGACGGGGCGGGCTTCCCGAAGATCCTGTCGTTTCCATTTTTTCGCACCGGGCGTTTGTGCCCAGTTTCGGGCCCTGGGTGACAGATCGGTCCAGCTCGAGAGATGGCGCAGAAAGGTGGGCAGCGGTCGTCATTTATGTCGTGATGCTGCATTGTTGTTTGTGACGTCGGATCTTAGGATTTGGGGGGACTTCGAGGCCTCGCGGGGGTCGGTTTTGCTGCGCGCCTCTGGGCCTCCTTCTTGCTGCCTCTGGGGGGCCTTCGGAGGCTGCCCGCGGGCGGAGGCATGCCCAGACCTCCGAAGGTACGAGCTTTCGAATCCCGTCGTGCTTCCCCGTGTTCGGCCTCTGGGATTCGTCCTCAGGCCCCAGGACCATCAAGAATGGATCCCGACAGCAAAGTTGCCCCCTGTGACGGGGTCGGGACCTGAGGGTTCGTATACAGTCGGGGCGCTGAAGAAAGAACCTTTTGCGTTGGGGAGGGGCTCGGTGTTCCTTAATTGTTCCACACCTTTCCTAAGGTTTTCCTTAAGTTGTCGATGGGAAGTCGAAGTTTAACTTATGGAAAAAACGCGGCGTCGTTCCTTATTTAGGGTTCCTTAGGTCAACGCCTCGACTGTATTACAAAAGCGCAAGGTCGGAGGACTGGGTGCCTGGAGGGGCCTGGATGCTGGGGAGGGGCCTTGATGCTGGGGAGGGGCCGGGAGGGAGCGTGGCTTTGACCTGGCTGAGGACGCTGGGATGTCTTGAGAGCGACCGTGACTTTGGCCTGGGCGAGCTGGATGCTACACCCGTGGCCCAGCCGCGTGCTTGCCCACTGCTCAGCGTTCGCGTGGGCAACTACGCCGGCCTTCCCCAGGTGAGTCCAGCGCTCGGTCTCCGAGCGTGCGAGTCCAGCTGTGTGTGTGGTTCCAGCTCCTGCCATGATTGCGAGCACGCGCGCCCGGTATCGGTTGCGATTTAGCGTGTGCGTGTGTGCGCCCCTGCCCGTCCTCCTCCGTCCGTGCATTGCGGCCTCAGTTTGCATGCAGCGTGTCCCCTGTTGTCAATCCGCCGGAGCAGTCGCCCTCTGCCCAGCCGCGGACGCAAAGGAAGTGTGTGCCACTGCCGGCCTCCTCGGTTACCTGTTCTCAGGGCCTGCGGAGTGCGAAGTTCGAAGCCGCCAGCCACGAGCCAGGAGCAAACAGGAAGTGGTTGGTTGGTCCTGGTTAGCTTCAACTGGGTCTGTCTATCTAGCTCTCTCGCTCTCTCTCTCTCTCTCTCTCACACGGAAGCTGTCAACTATGGTTGGGGCGCTGGTCAGGGAGTGTGCCCAGGAGGCATCAGATCCTGAAGGATGCCTTACCTACTGAGAGCGGCGGTGGTGCCAGAGGCCGATCCACGATTGGAGGTCCACCGCCAACCAGGCCTTGATTCCTTACCCAATATTTCCGAGCCTTGCTAGCGGCGGCTTGCGTCGCCGATTGGGCGGAAGCCGAGCAGCGCGGGTGCAGCCCATGCTCGGCGATGCCGCTGATTTACGCATGCTGCATGCTTGCGGATACGAGTTCGCGTACGGTTGCGCCAGCAAGAGAAATACCCTCACCGTGTGAAGAAGAGGGCTTCTGAGGGCATCGGGTCCTGAGTTGTGTTCTTTCTTCCGGCCCGTCGGGGCTGGTCCGGGTCGCGAGGGTAGTGAACAAACGCCTGCAAGCCTGAGCCTCAAGCAGAAAGTCTTTGCACTGTGGACGTGTAGGCTGCGCGGTGCAACCTGTGCGAGCGTGGGCTATGTGGTGTACGCTAGGTGGCTCGCAGGCTGCGCGGTGCTAGCCATGTGATGCAAGCTGCGTACTGCAACGCATCTTGTCTATGGGTGTGAGCTGTGTGGCGTGAGCCATGCGGTGCGAGCTATGAGGCTACGTGGTGTGAGCTATGTGGTGCGCAAGCTATGTTGTGCAAGATATCAGGTGTAGGGTATCCGGTGCAAGATGTGCTGTGTCGGCTACCGGGTCGGAACTCTGCGGGCGCGCAGGAGCTCCCCACGGGCGGCCGCCGACGGGCTGGCCCATGAGGCGCCGTCGGGTGGCCACGGGCGGACATCGGGCGAAACCGCCCCAGACATGCGACGTCCTGATCTTTTCAGGACGGCGTCCCTGGAAGTCCCGACCCTTTCCCTGGGACCAGCTTTCCGCCCTGACTCGTTCTTTGACGGTCCCGAGGCCCGGCGAGGACGAACATAGCCACAAACCTCCCGTCCTGATCTTTCTTTGCGACGCGAGCATGTCTGGGGTGGTAAACCCACCCAGAGCACGGGGCACCCACGGGTGGCAACGGACGGGCACCGGTGTGTCTGTGGGCGTGAGCGTGGGCGTGGGCGTGGGCGTGGGCGTGGGCGTTGGTGCGGCCGTGGGCGTGGGCGTGGGCTTGGACTTCAGCGTGGGCGTGGGCTTGGGCGTGGGCGTGGGCGTGGGCTTGGACTTCAGCGTGGGCGTGGGCGTGGGCTTGGACTTCAGCGTGGGGCGTGGGTGTGGGCGTGGCCGTGGCCGTGGGCGGTGGCGCACTTCGGCAGGCTCGCCCAGCGCACGGGGGCGCTGCTGACCCAGTCTATTCCAGAGGTAGGCCAAGCAACGACCCCTAAGTGCAACCACTGTTTGGGAAATCGCCCCAGATGGAAGCTTGTCCTGAGGGAATCGAGGCGGGCGAAAGGGCGGGATTGGGAGAGGGGCTGTCACGAATCATGCTGCTGTGCAGTGCCGGTCCTGCCGTAGGGCGCCCTCCTTCATACATCCGCCCCTCTTGCGCCGGTGAGGCGCCAGAGAAACCAGCTGCGTGGGCTTATTTGCTTACGGTAGGTTTGCGTCGTGTCGACCAGCGGCGACCCCAGCGCGGGCGTTCAAGGTTGAACGCCGTCGGCGACCCAGAATCGATCGATGTTGAACGATCGGACGTTGCGGCAGCGGCCGATCGTTCAAGGTTGAACGATCCCTGCGGTGTCAAAAACCAACGCTGGGGTCGGCACGACACGAACCTGCCGTAACCAAACCCTTGCTTTCCTTACTTATGTTTGGTGCCCATCCCAGGGAATGCCCACGGGCTTTGGGCCTGTTTCCCTTTAGGACCCCTGCAGCCAACTCGCTCAGACGAGGGCCGGCTTGGGTTCGGGAAGTTTCCGCTGTTCGTTTGGTCTTTCCATGACTATTATATTCTAGCACGCTTCTTGCACCCACACGGGTTCGAGGCCAAAGAGGGCCCGTTCATTAGTCGGCGGTTTTGATCGTAGCAGCTTGATTTAGATTATGTACACCTGGCACGATGGTTAAGAACAGGCCCAGCCGCCTTTCAAGGGCACCCAGATGTCATGGAGAACGCCGGCGGCGCATGACCAGTCGGGGGCAGGCTCCTGCTGGGGGCCTTTTTGGGCTTCTTGGGGGCCTCTCGGGTGTGTCTCTGGGAGCGCCTTGGTGGCTTGCTGGGGGTCTTGGCGGCAACCGTTCGGGGGCAGTCTTGAGTCGGGCCTGTCCCTCTACAGGAGGAATGTTCAAAAATAGTGAAACATATTCGGGGGATGATGCTTGGAGTATTGTTTGATCAAGCTTGATGATTTTAGAGTATTCTTATTTTTCGTCGAAAATCGGCCTGTAGGGCGACATGCCCGACCTAAGGGCAGTCTCCTGTGGCACTGTCGTCCCTTTCCCCTCTTGGGCTCCTCTCCGGCCCTCTCGGGGGCCCTTCTGCGGGCCCTCCTGGGGACCTGCTGGGTCGTCGCGGGGCCGTCTTCGGGCCCTCTTGGGGGTCTTGTGGGCCGTCTTGGGGCGGTCTCGGGGGCCTCCTGGCCTTGTGTCGGAGTGCTGAACGCGAGGGAAGGCGAGAGCCTTTACAATCTTTGAAACGTTTTGCCTCGGCGGCTGGGCAGAGGGTGACAGCGCTGGCGACGAGAGGCTCAAGCGGGGATGCCGTCAGAGCGAATTGTGCCACCATGCAAGAGGAGGACGAGGGATAGGACGCGGCCGAAGTAAAAGAGGAACGGGGCGGGTGGCTCAGGGGTCAGATCGCTCTCCGAGCGCGTGGCGCGGCCAGCCCCGCCGCACAATCTCTGAAGCACCAGGGGGGATCATTGAGTTTGTCTCCTTTGGGCCCTCGCGGGGGTGAACTTGGAGCTCTCCGGGGGCACCTTGGGGGCTTCTTCGGGCCGTCTCAAGGCCATCGTGTTCCGTCTGGGGGCGCTCTTGGCCCTATCGGGCCGTTTTTGATTGCCTTAGAGCTCCCGTTTGGGGGCTCTCTTGGGTCGTCTTGAGGCCCTTCGAGGTCGATTCGGGGCCAGATGGGCCCAGTTTCGCTTCGGGGGGGAGGTCTGCGAGGGACCGCCGGCAGAGTGGGGCCCACTGGAGGCACTTCAGGGAGGTTTTGACCCAACACTGGCAAATCCTGTTAAGCTCAGCATCGCGCAGAGGGGGATAGGCGGAGGGGGGGAGGCTTCCTAAGAAGCTCCCCTGCTTCT